TGTGTCCGTGTCCGTGTGTCCGTGTGTCCGTGTGTCCGTGTCCGTGTGTCCGTGTGTCCGTGTGTCCGTGCCGTGTCCGTGTGTCCGTGGCCGTGTCCTCTCACGACTCTCTTTCTGTGTTTCAGACAGTTACAAACAAAAGCATTCCTTGAAACCTCCCGACCGAGGTAGTTCCTCTTTTTCTTTTCTCTTCTCTTTTATCTCCCCCTTTTTTTTCCGGCTTTTTTTTCTTCCCCTTCCCCTCCCCCCTCCCCCTCCCCCTTTTCTCCTCCATTCCTTAGGTTTTTATGATTATTTTGGTTTTGTGGGATTTTTCCACCCCGGGGAGGGGAGGGAAGGGAGGGTTTGGATCCGTGGGAGGGGGAAGGAGGGAGGGCAGAGACGTCAGCGCCGGCTCCCCGCCGGCCCCGGCCCCTTTTCCAGCCCTTTTCCAGCAGGGAATGGGCCGGGAAAACAAAGATTAAACCCCCCCCCCGTGGTGCCAAAGGGTTGGGAAAAACACCCGGATCCCAGGATGTGCCTCCGGATCCTGGGATGTGCCCCCGGATCCCGGGATGTGCCTCCGGATCCCAGGATGTGCCTCCGGATCCCGGGATGTGCCTCCGGATCCCGGGATGTGCCTCCGGATCCCGGGATGTGTCTCTGGATCCCGGGATGTGCCTCCGGATCCCTGGATGTGCCTCCGGATCCTGGGATGTGCCTCTGGATCCCGGGATGTGCCTCCGGATCCTGGGATGTGCCTCCAGATCCCGGGATGTGCCTCTGGATCCCGGGATGTGCCTCTGGATCCCGGGATGTGCCACCACCTCTCCGGGAGCTCCCGGAGCTCCCTCGGTGTCATCCCGCTAAAATCCCACTGAAATTCCACGGCTTTGCCTAAAAAAAATGGGATGGACGGGCTGGAGGGGGTCAGGGATGAACCAGGATCTTCCCAGATTGTGGGATCAGGAAGCTGGAGTCGGGTTTGGAGCCGATCCGGCCTCGGATCTGGGGGGGAAAAGGTCACGTTGGAGCCCCCGCGGAGGGGGAGGGACCTCCGGGAATGTGGAATTCCGACCCCGGTGGGCCTGGAATTGCTGCTCCAGGGGCTGCTTTTTCCCTCCAGGGCCCCACTTGGCTCCGGGAATGTGGAATTCCAACCCCTGGTGGGCCTGGAATTGCTGCTCCAGGGGCTGCTTTTTCCCTCAGTATCCCTCGGCTCCCAGGGAAAGGAGGATCCCACAGATCCCTGGATCCCGCAGATCCCTGGATCCCAAGGGAATTCCTGGGCCTTTCATCCCAAAAATCCAGTATCAACCTCCCTTGGAATGTCCAGAGCCCGTTTTCCCAGACCCAAACTGCTTTTTCCCTGATTTTGGAAGCAGAATCCGGGCGGGAATTCCGGCCCTGGGGGGGTTTCTCTGGATCCGGAGAATTCCAGGCTGTGGAGGAAAAGCTCCAGATTTGGGAAAATCTTCCCCCCCAAAGGGAAATTCCTCCCAGTTTATGGAAAGACGTGGGAAGAACCTGGTGGGAAAATCTGCCCAAGAGCCCCAAAATTCCCCCCCTGGCTCTTGTTTTTTGGGATTTGATCCCAATTCCCGGTGCCCATCCGGCCTCGCTCCCATTCCCTGCCGGTTCCAGGAGGGAACTGAATTCCTGCTTGTGCTTCCCACCCCAAAACGGGCCAGGAAGGGGGTCCTTGGATAGAAAACCACCCCAAAAACCCCCGGAAAACCACCCCAAAAAACGCTGGAAAAGCAGGGCCGGGGAGCCGGGAGCCAATTCCCAGATCCACGAGGAATTGAAGGCTCCTGAGAACGGGGCAGGAAATGGGAAGATCCAGGGTTTTTTGGGATGGGGGGTTTGGAGGAGCCCCGTGGAGCCAAAGGGGGGGAGCAGAGCCGGGATAAATCCCTGGAATCTGCCTCGGGGCTCCTCGGAATCCCGGAAACCCCCAAGTTTCCCAGGTTGGATTTTTGACCTGGAGATGGTTTTGGTTTGGTTTTTTTGGGGGGGTGGGAATTCCCTCCCCCCTCCGGGATCTTCCCAGTGGGATTTTCCCCTTGGATGGAGGCCGGGGTGGGACGGGGGGGTCCCACTGAACATCCGGACGCAGCGGGATGAGATTCCCTCGGGAATTCCGAGGCGCTTCCACCCCGTCCCGGGGGGACTTTGGGAGGGGCTGGGAATTCCAGGTGACTTCGGGAGCCGCCATTCCCGGGGCTGGGAACGCCGGGGTGCAGCTGGACGGGCTGTGGGATGTGGGATTTGGCTTCCAGGGGGAGGGAGGCTGAGATTATTCCCGGTTTTTTTTCCGTAGTCTGCGGGAAGCGCTACAAGAACCGGCCGGGGCTGAGTTACCACTACGCCCATTCCCACCTGGCTGAGGAGGAGGGGGATGACAAGGACGATTCCCAGCCCCCCACGCCCGTCTCCCAACGCTCCGAGGAGCAGAAATGTGAGAGGATTCCCTAAAATTCCCCCCGAATTCCCGCCGGGAGGAGGCGGGAAAAGCCGCGAAAGCGCCTTTCCCAGGGTGGGAACGAGCAGCGAGCCCGGCCCTGGGGGGGTCTGGGGGTGCTGCCCCCAAACTCCCACGGCTTCCAGGAATTCCACAGCTTCCAAAAATTCCACACCTTCCAAAAATTCCACACCTTCCAGAATTCCACACCTTCCAGAATTCCACACCTTCCGCAACTTCCTGAACTTCCGCAACTTCCAGAAGTTCCACACCTTTTAAAAATCCCACAGCTTCCAAAAATTCCCACGCCTTCCACAACTTCCCGAACTCCCTCAGCTTCCAAGGATCCCCCCCCCCTTTCCCCAACTCCCACAACTTTCCCACCTTTTCCCGAGCTCCCACAATTCCCACACGACCTCCTCCCACGGCTCCCAAAAATTCCTCCCCAACCTCCTCCCACGGCTCCCAAAAATTCCTCCCCAACCTCCTCCCACGGCTCCCAAAAATTCCTCCCCAACCTCCTCCCACACCTCCCACGGCTCCCAAAAATTCCTCCCCAACCTCCTCCCACGGCTCCCAAAAATTCCCCAACCTCCAAAACCTCCCACGGCTCCCAAAAATTCCTCTCCAACCTCCTCCCACACCTCCCACGGCTCCCAAAGCTCCCAGAACTCCCGGAAGCTGTGGAAGGAACCTCTCGGGATGGGCTCCCAGGATGGGGTTTTCCCGCTGATCCGTGTGTCCCATTCCCGCTTTTCCAGCCAAGAAGGGCCCGGACGGGTTGGCCCTTCCCAACAACTACTGCGACTTCTGCCTGGGGGACTCCAAGATCAACAAGAAGACGGGGCAGCCCGAGGAGCTCGTGTCCTGCTCCGACTGCGGGAGGTCAGGTGGGGCCCTCTCCATGACTCCTGCGGAATTCCGGGGGGATTCCTTCACCTTTCCCTGGGCTTTTCCCTGACCGTTCCCCGGGCGGGTCACCCGGCGTGCCCGCGGTTCGTGCCG